GAGTCACTAATTTTAAATTTTGAAAGTTTATACAATGAAAATTGTTTACTATGCTCCAATAAGTAATAACACTGTAATTTTTAGCCCACTGTAACTATAAAAAATATACAATTTACTACAGTACACAATATCTAAAGACATCCAAAATTGTAATACCTCAATGAATACTTAAAAATTTACAAAAAAAAATATGTTATATTGTAGTCTTATATAAGTTTTACAAAATTACAGATTTTTTTTGCAAATTTTGACTTATTCATTGAGGAGTTACGGTTTTAAAAAACATAATATAATTTTAATGTGACTTTATATGGAGAAAGTGATCATATCATCACTATATAAAGATAGATATACAAACTGTCTATAGATAGTTCTTGACGGTATTACAAAAAAAAATTTTTACATATTCCATTAGGTTTCTAGAACAAATAAAATTTAGTTTTCTAGAATCTCTGTGTGATAAACGTGATGCCATAACACACTTGTCCTATCGCACTAATATTTTTTTTTTCTTTAACCCAGTGACAAAAAGCAAAATGAGTTAGCAAACTTTGCCTTAAAATAAAATTATACTTTTAAAATTTTGGTATTTGCAATCCTTTAAACTTTAGAAGTGAACAAGCATCTAGTTGTCAAAAATTCAGCATTAAAAATTACAGTGCCTTTCAAATTAGTGTGATCAAATATTACGCATCATGTGGGAATCTTGTTAATGTAGTCTTTTTAAACTTTGAAGTTATCTCGACACTCTCTAGTTTTATTTAACAACTATAGTCTGAGGTTCAAGGTCTTCTGGTCTTGCTATAGAGATACTGGAGTTTAAGATAAGTATGGGTTTGAATTGTACTCTTACTAATTGTATGCTTCAGTTAGAAGCTAAAGATAATGCTCTTTCTCAAGTCTTGATTCAACAGGGTTCAATATTCGATTTCAATCATTAAGACTTTAACTAGCGCTCCGAAATGGTCAACCGGGTAGTTATCGGATTAGCCTATGCTTGACTAGAGCAAAACCCGGGTTTTACTAGTTAATAAAATCATCAAAATTTTATCATATCTAACACTAACGCTAATAAAAAAAATATATTTTAATAGTTTTTTAATAATGATTAATTTATACCGTTCTTTAGCATTTTATAATTTACAGTACATGAATTTATTACTAATGCATTATTAATGCTTTAAGATAACTGATTGTGGCCTTAAATAACACTATTCCTACCAAAAATTTAGACACATATATGAATGAATAGCATCTGTTTCAAGACTACTTCTTTTAATATCGATTAAGTGCAGCGCCTTTAGCAAATACTCATTTAACTGGAACGCTAGTTGTACTAATTTGATAATAATTCCTAGATATTATAACCAAGCGTAGATATTCAAATTCGTGTTTCTTCCACCATTTGCCTGTGAAGTACTCAAATATAACAACTTCATTCTGCTGTTCAACCTTACGTTTTTTTCTATTTCCATAAATATAATTTAAAAGAGATCGTTTTTCTGCCAAAATAACTTTACGTTATGACGGTAGTGGTTCTTTGAAAATTATCACTACATATATATGTTATCTTATTCATTTTATACTATATCCTCTTTCGCTTAATGAAACTTTGATACAGTTCAACTAGGTTAAGCATGGTATTTATGAAACATGAATCACATTTCGTAAAGGTTATTACGTGTTAATCGAAGATATTTAGAATTAAAAAACTTAATGTATTCATAGAGAAAGTTAAATTACTTTTAGAAGTTGGCAAAAATAGTTCTAACTTTGATATGCAAAACATTAAGAGAATAAATTTAATACTTAAAAGGTAATATGTTTTAACTACGTATTGAAAAAAAATTTCTAATTAGTTACGATAAATTTGGATCTTTGATTGTAATATTTTTTATTTGTAATTATTTTCATTTTTCGGGCTCCTAACGTTAAATCTAAATTCCTCTAAAAAATTTGATACGCAAAAATTATTAAATAAAGTTAAACTTGGGTTATGTGATGTATTTTTAAGTTCGGGTTTAAAATTCGAGTTATCTGGGTTTTACTGAGCACTACTCTTCATGTAGATCACGTGGTTAAAGAATCGCAGTATTAATTTTTATTCGATTTGAGATAACAATAGCATTAGATCAAAGTTTGATCAAAGTTTGATCAATTGTATTTTGTTCTACTTAAAAAGAGGCTTGGATTATTAACCGATACTTCTCTCTTTTACTTTTACTTCAAGATTGATAATATGAATTTTTGAGTTATACTTTATTTCAGAAGCATCGCTTTTATACTTTTTCATTTAATATACATTAATTGAATTCTTATTACATAAAAAGAAAAAGAAAAAGAATACATAATAGTAATATTAATCAAAAAAAAATTGGGGCGAGAAACATATACATTTACTAAAAATCATAAAAGATAAATGAGCATTCGTTAGTTGGTTATCCAGGTCACACCACGTGGAGATCAATGCTCAAGTGACCCATGTACCACACTTTGGTAGATTTGGAATTAAAAAAATATATAAAGAAAGGTGTATATACAAGAAACTTGGCATTAGAAGAAAATTCATGGAAAAAAGAGATCTATAATGTCTGAAAAGTTGTCTCAATCCGCCAAGAGAATCAAATCTTTAGTGTGGTCAATTTTCTCTACTGCAGCAGGGGCAAATGCATTCATGGCCAGATCTACTACAATGCTAATAGTAGCATGTCCAGTTTCATAAGCATATCTTCGCACGACGGTCTCATATGCGAAGATAACCTCTCGATCTAAAAAAATTTAAATTAAAGATTTTAATTTATTAATATAATATTTATACGTAATATAGTAACAAAAATACTAATTAAATTACATATTGAATATTGATGGCTATAGTTTTTGTATTGAATCACAATAGTGATCCTAGCGATTTGACATAAAATATCTTTATTTCTGTCACCAGGTCTACTATATAATAAATAATAAACCATGAATATTTGTCATCATCATCAACTAACAAAGATGCATGGTGTTTCAATATCAGAGTATATCCTATTCACCAACTTCCTAGCAGAACACTTTCCAATATATACAAAAAGTGCTTCTCTAATGCAGAGAGGTCTAATTATAACTTCAGGAATATTCATAACTGATAGAGAAAAATGTTAACTATCAAAATAGTTGCCATGATGAGCTTTCAATTCTCTATCAGATTTCATTATATAGATGAGGCAGCATAATTTCAGATATACTGACTCGACAAATAATCAATAAGAAAACTCACCCTGTATGTACAAATTCTATATCCGCTTCTGTTAAAGCGTCGACTCTCCTGAAGCCCATGCTTCTCAATACCATTATTATATCCCATTCAAGGATTCTTCCTAAAATATAGATATTATATTTTACTACAATACAGACAACTTCTTGTTCTGTATTTGACATTTTTTTGTAAAAAAAAAAAAAAAATTTTAGAAAATTTCGAAATTATTTTACAGGTCATATGTATCATTTATGTATCAAGTAGATATTCTCTTTTTGTTAAAAGTATTTCAACACATTTCCTGTTGCATAACAAGACTTGATTCGGCGCTAAAACAATCACACTGCAGTTGTTAGGTGAAGTCATTTTGCGCAAATAACGAAAGACGAAAACTCTGGTGAATAGCGAAACTCTTGGCAAAAGCCAAACTCTTAACGAAGGTCGAATCCTTCTACATAGACCTAAAAAAAACTAAGTAAGCTATGTTGATAGATAAAAATATTTTGTGTGGCTATTAAGTACAAGGTGTGGCTTATATAAAAAATTTACAAAAATAATAAAGAGTGACAACTTTTTGTTTGTATGTATTTGGGTACAATTCAAAACCTAGAATTTTGTTTTCTTTTAAAGTGCTTATCTATTGTAACTGATATGTACGTACGTAATTCTGTTCTACGTATGAATCTCACTTCTATATTTACCATGGGAATTTCCTCAAATCACGTATACACTGCTGTATAAACAAGTTATTTATGCGAAGTTAGATTTGGTACGTAGCATAAACCTTATGATCTTAATGTTAACGTATAATGTACTCGTCTTTAGCTTATGTATCATAAAATGGTTGTAGTCGCAAAATTGATCATGTAAAGCTAAAATAGAATATATAGTTTTGATAAATATCATCAAATACGTAGGAGTTGAAACAAACAAGTAAGATGCATTTGATTTTTATCAAAAGTCTGGTGAATGTGGATGCTACGTAATTATTCGAAGAGATAATTAAATTTTGCATAAGAATGGAATTAGAGCTGAAATAAATGAGCGTAAGATATCTAGTTATTATTAAAACTTACCAATAAAAACATAAACAACGATATTGAATTCAATAATGATGGTAATAAGATCATCACACGTAGAATGAATAATAGTAGAAGAGAAAATAAAAATGATAAAGAGTGTTGGTTAGTATTCGTATGAATCTTGTTTTTTCTTGTTCTAATAGATCCTCTAGTCGTGGTCTGGCCCAAAAAATTAAATGCAGGACAATGCCTGAAGTCGAAAATGTTACTGAGATAGTACTGAGATGGATGATATTGAAATTTGGTGTCTTGGTTATGTTCTGATACTACTCTACTTTCTGAATTAGTAATTATTATATGTCTTTATATTTCGATTAAGTAACTTTTTTTTTTTTTTTGAATTGAATTTATTGTTATTGTACGTAAAAAAAATTGAATTTTAAAAAGTTTGGTTGGCAGGTAATGCAAAAAGAAAAATTAATTTTTGGTCTTAAATTAAGATCAAAATTTCATCAAAATTAGATCTTGTAATACAGATATTCTGCACAAATCAGATTTCAGAATTTTGTACGTATATGATCATCGATGCTTTTTTCTTAAATGATTTTTACTTTATATATAAAATCTAACCCTAACTTTTTCTTGCTTTTAAAATCACAGTTTATTGAAGTACGTATACACTTTAAAGTATTACTTTACAACTTTTATTTACACATATAGTTCATACATATATATTTTTAATCATGAGCGAATTCTTCAAGAACTTGTTCTGGAATTTGACGATGAGAACAATACTTCTTTACTGCAAAGTTAGCAGCTTTTCCAGAAAGTCCAAGTTCATAAGCACTCATAAATCGTTCAGAATAGCGAGCAAAGTGGTGAATTTTTAATAAACTAACAGAATCTAATGCCATTGAAACAGTTTTTTAAGGCTCTTAAAACTATAATCACAGTAAAGTCTTGCATAATGTTTTACTTCGGCCCAAACGGACTCATATAATTAAGTTCACAATGGAACTTAAAGTAAAAGATGCACATGTGGCCGGCATCTTTAATTACCTAAATTATTTATACATATGTAAGTAATGGTTTTTAAATTTTTTTTTTTTTTTTAACAAAAAAAACTTATTTACCTCTCATATGTGTGATCTTTGAGCTGCAAAGTTGGGTTGAGCTAAAAGAATATGTGAAGCGCAACAGTTTGGGTTGTTTGGATCAGGCTTATTTTTTTTACATATATCACACTTTTTTTATAAGGCCTAGTATCCATAAACCTCTTTCTTCAAGAACCTGTTTAATTCCTTTAGGCCTTTTTACATTAGCATTGTCTATATAGATCATTATATGCTTGGAACCATCAGGCATTGTACTATCACGAAGAAGTAGTTTTTTTGTACCATCTTTCATACCCATTTGCGAGACCAAAAGGGCATCTTCAGCAAATGAACCATGATTGCTACTATTATCAAACATGAATAGAGCTATCTTGTTGGGGTGTATTTGTTCAAATATTGGTATAGTACATTCAACTACCTGATTAACTAAATCATCGCATATCTACCAACCATCATGATTTATGTCTAGATAGATGGCAACACCTGCTTTGATATATTTGAGACACATGGAATCAGGAAGTAAGTCATTTATACCAATTTTATAGTCTGAAAGTTTGAGACACCTGATAGATTCACAGACAAAATCACTAATGTGATTACTGGAGCCCTGTGATCAAGGATAGAAATCAAAAATTAGTCAAAAAATGTTTTTAGCCAACTTACTAAATATTAGGAATAATAATATGTATAAGATATTGGCCATGCAACGATTAATATTATGAAATTTGTTTTGTCAGAGCAAATGATTGGCTGACATGTACTGTGTAGCAGCATGTTTCATCCAATCATTTGCTCTAACAGAACAAATTTTGTAATATTTATCATCGCATGATCCAATATGTTATCGTGCAATTATGATTATAATTTACGAGTCATGGTTGGCTGAGTTTTAATTTGGGATTGTTGTGTTTACAAAATAATATACAAAAAATAACAAGAAGAAAAAAATCTATGATTATAAGAGTTTGCATGGTAACCTGGTCTATTGGGGATTAGCGAAAACAAAGATTCTGCTTATTCACATATAGTTTAGGATATTATTCATTAATCCTAGTGATATTGGTATAGTACATGCAGTTGACCTGCTAATAGTTTTACTTATGACTCCAAAAGCGAGCATAATATGACTAATATAACTTATAAAATTTGGAATAGATAATTTAAATTTATTTTCCTCCAAATACTGATTTATTTGATGTCGAAAACTTTTATTATAAATTAACGATTTTGTTTTTACATGTTTACCACATTTTGACTTCGTTAATTCTTTGTTATTTTTCAATTGATTTGCCTAGATATGAATATACCGAGCATGCCATGGGCCTTTACCCAAACTCTTAGCCAGAAGTTCACTTGCCTTCATCTTTGTATACCCTTCATTCACAAGATGAAGAAATTGTCTTGTTGTATTGAGATTTATATCGACAGTTTGTATTTTCAATTGTGTATCTAGTGATGATAATATAGAATTATCATCATTAACACTACTGTCAAGGGTATTATGCGATGAAGAAGCAAGTTTCGATACTGTAGGCCAATTTTTGTTGATGGGATTAAGTGCCATAGGTTCGTAACTTTTGTTGGAAGCGGTATTGGTCGATTTAACTGACAATTTATTTTTCTATTTCATGGCAGCAGCTTGTCGAGCTTGTCTTGTGCATTTATTTGGCTTTGGCATTTTTTTTTATTTTATTTTTGGTATTTAATTTACAAGTTTGAGGTATGTATACATGTCAAAAAAGTTAAAGAAAATATAATCTGATCAAGTCTTCTTACGTACATGCGTATTTATAATTGATACGTATCATTAATATTGTTTAGAGAATTAATCAATCTTGATTGATGTTGATTATACGTATATTTGTCAATTACGTATTCGAACAAAACCTATCCAAAAGCCAGTTTCAGGTGTATACTACTGTATCTTTGTATAACGCCTACCTGCACGTTATTTTGAGTAATTCAAGTACATGCATGTGCGATATTTTGAGTTAAAGGCTAATTGTTCAATATAAAAAGATATTTACAATTGGCTCATATACACTGATCCAAACATGCGCGTTATTTAAGGGCATATATGAGTATCATTTCGAAGCCATACATGTTATTTCGAGTTATACAATTTTCGAAATAATGCTTATTGGCATTATTATGCAAAAATATGATATACTATTGAGGCAGGATGAACTATGATAGGCTTGAAGAAAATATCAATGGACATTGTTCATTATGCCAGTAGATTGGTCAACTATAATGGGTCATCCAGTATTGGCTTCAATGGAGTCCACAAATGGGGCCAATAGAGCTCTGAATGAAACCAATAGTTACTATTCATTAGCGCTCTATTTGCGAACTCCATTGAAGCAATTAAAATTTTAATTATGCAGAAAAAATTTAATTATGCAAAAAGGTTTACACATCAGACTAAATTACTATAAAAGTTCATGTACAAGATCTGGGTCTGTTTTATTCCACCAATTTTTAAACTCTTTAGTAGACCCAGAGTCTACGTAGTACTCACCCAGAGGTTATATCATGAAAAGAAAAAATTCAAAGTGCATGCACACTTTATATTTTTAATAGGCATTCTACTATTTAAAAAAAACTGCATTTAATTAATAAAGATTCTGTGGTTCGACCAGGTCTAGCTCATGGTGGATCTACTATTTTGGAGGATCTTGTATATGAACTTTTACAGTACATATGAATCGAAGAAGTGATATATATATTTTTTTTTATGTAAACAAAAAAAAATTTTGAACATTTAACGTATGTAATATATCAATTAATTATTTTTTTATTTAATTTTTCATTATTAAATAATTTTAAAATAAAATAATCTTAGAT